GTAAATAAATGAGGAGACGGCTCTTGAACTTAACGTAAGACTCTTGGAACAAAAACACATGAGGAGACGGCTCTTGATCATATAACAAGACTCATGGAACATAAACACAACTCTTGGAACGTAAATATGCCTGCAGTACACAGCGTGTGTGGTATATAGGGCAAAAAAATGCACACTATGCCTAGTACAGTCTCGCTCATGTCATATGATAGGCTTAAGAGGAAATGTATGGAAGCCGCCACCATCTAAATCTACGACACTACAGAGCAGAACAAGGCACTTTTATGCTCTCATCGTTCAGAAACCTCTTACCTCGCCAGCCCTGACCTCACGCAGGCAGCAGCCTTCATAATTTCCCCTCTTCACATGACCGAGCGGAATATATTAGCTGACATGTTTTCTGTATAAATCGATAAAGTTCTTGAGTGTAACAACAAAGGCTCGTGTTTTATGTGTCTGCCATCTACCTGTAGGCTCGTTATTTCTTCTTTAACCTTATTTTGCTTAGTGTGATGAGAAATTATTATTATTATTATTATTATTATTATTATTATTATTATTATTATTATTATTATTATTATTATATAATGCTCTGATGGTGTCTTTCTCTCAGATGTGATACCATAATTTTCTTTTATCATGGACGAGTGGAACAGACAGTAGGCTACGGGGTTAGGATATTCAGGCAGAAGTAGACACACAAGACATTCACAGTCACTAAAAACCTTTTAAAACCATTCACAGGCACTAGCAACCTCTAAGAACATTCCTAGTCGCTAGTAACCTCTAAGAACATTCTTTCACCAGTAACCTCTAAGAACGTTCAGTCACTAGTAATCCTGAAGAACATTCAGTCACTAGTAATCCTGAAGAACATTCAGTCACTAGTAGCCTTAAAGAACATTCATTCGCTAGTAACCTCTAAGAACATTCATTCACTAGTAACCTCTAAGGACATTCAGTCATTAGTAATCCTGAAGAACATTCAGTCACTAGTAGCCTTAAAGAACATTCAGTCACTAGTAACCTGAAGAACATTCAGGGTCCTGAGTAACTTTTAATAACATTCACAGTCACGAGCTGCCAATAAGAGCATTCGACTACAAATACTTTAGAAGTAAGAACACTAATTCACCTCTTTAGTTACAAGTGTAATGCATGTTGCAGAATAAACACTCACATAAAGCCTCATAAGTCAGGCTGGAGTCAAGCCTTGTAAGTACAAGGTCACTCCACTCAGGCTGGAGTCAAGCCTTGTAAGTACGAGGTCACTCCACTCAGGCTGGAGTCAAGCCTTGTAAGTACAAAGTCACTCCACTCAGGCTGGAGTCAAGCCTTGTAAGTACGAGGTCACTCCACTCAGGTGGAGTCAAGCCTTGTAAGTACAAGGTCACTCCACTCAGGCTGGAGTCAAGCCTTGTAAGTACAAGGTCACTCCACTCAGGCTGGAGTCAAGCCTTGTAAGTACAAGGTCACTCCACTCCTAGTCCTCACATCTGCTGCCGTCGGCTCTTAAATTTATTGCTGTTTCCTCTTCCTCTATACTGTTGCTTTTAATTTAGAGTAGCATTAAATAGGTGATTTTATTCGGATTATTAACCCGGCGGTTAACCAGTTCAGGATAACCCAAGAACATCACTGTGGCTAATTTATATTGGGGTTCTTTGATCCCCTTCCCCAGAATGTGACCCAGGTGCCTACTTACTGCTACATGAATAGTGGCAACAGGTGTAAGGAAACATAGCCAGAGTTTCCATTTGGGCTGGGATCAAACCCAGGTCTTTCAGATGTGAGCCGAAGGCGCTACCACTGGAATCGTAAGTCATTATTCTCTTCTTTAGTTGAAATTGTGAAAAAAAAAATTATTACCCACCAACATGACTAAACGTACATGAAACATCACTGCAACAGTTTTATAATGTAGCCTCGCGGAAAAATTACACATCGTTAAAATATAACTTGTACAGGTAAGGCTGATGTATAACAAAACTACACCAATGTTTAAAATTTAATGTGATGTTATATAAATTATGAAGTGAGTGCATTTAGGTAACGTTACGTCAAGTGACCTTAACGTAGCGTGTCCCTAAGAGGGCTACAGGCTACTGACAGTGTCAGGTGTTACACTGTGTTGCTGATATTGTACGTGAAAAAAATGTGTATTATTTGTTTTGTTTATCATAAAACGCTAGTCCCGTGTTGTTCATTCAGCACGAATAATAATGGTTGAGGACTTGATCACCAACCAGTCCGCTCAATCACAGTCCGGTCTTTGACCGTCAGTCTTGATGATGCTGCATGAAGAGAAACACTTTTTAAGTATTTTTGCTGAAAAGGTTGTCCTATTTCTAGTTAGAAACCATGACACATTGTAGTCACGCTCCGCGAGAGAAACCTAGCACGTGTACTGTATATATATTGGGGGATTTACAATTATTTGTTGGGAAGGAATCTGTAACTAGATACAAAATTTACTATGTACTGAGGATATATAGAAGCGAGAAGTATTCATAAGTTGTGGTACTAGTCAGCAAGGAACGACAGAAAAAGAGGCCATCGATAGAATGTAAACGCCCTCATTCCTTCATCTGGTTTGGGACATGCACATCACGAGCTACACCTCACTATAGCAATTAATTAGAAGCCAATCTATCGAGGTTTAGAGATACACGTGTATAGTCCTTGACTTCCTTCTTTGTTTGAACATATAACATTCCTGTTGACTATCATATTTAATCAGCCGTAATTATTAATGGCGCAAGTTTCCTTCCTAGAGAGTGTTAGCGCATGACTCAAGATTTATGTATGCGCATGAATACGGCCACGAATGCTTGTGTGTGCTGTGGCCCAGCCGAGAAGCACGCGGCCACTTCGTCACATGTTCACTGGTCAAATTCAAACTGCATCTATTTATGGGCGGGTTCTTGCTGACAGTGTCTACAAGCTTTTGGTGCCGGCGCTAGCGACTCAGTATAATGAAAGGGAGCAGATTCCTGAGTCTGAGATGTAGGCTATGAAGTATAATGTCCCTCGGTTTATCAACAGTTTAGAAACAAATTACGTATCTTGATTTTTTTTGAGAAACAGCAACATCCCAAGACTAATACGTGTATGTAAAAATTGCAGGTATTCCCGCAAGGGTGTGAGAGGTCTTGTGACCACCGCAATCTAAATACTGTTTAATAAGAAACAAATGTTAAGAGTAATGGAAGTTTCCAGTATACTGCAATTTAAAACTGCTGAGTGCAGGATGCTTGTTTGTAAGCTTACTTCATCTCTGCTAGTGCAAAAAAAAAAAAAAAAAAGGAATAGAAGTCGTGACCTTCTAACCCACTCTGCCCTACAGTGTGGTAAAGTGAAGAGAGAAGGCTTGGCTCCTTTAGGGGTCGTCGCTCCCTAAAGGAAAAAAAAAAGTACTCCACATAGAGCCAGATTAGGAGTGTAACTGCTAATAACGAACAAAATGGGTTTTGAGAAGCAAGAAGGAAAAATAAATAGTAAAGATAATGATAGTACCTAGAAGGTACTATCATAAGCAGGGGACACAAGGTAGTAGCGGCGCAGCAATCTGCAACCTCCAACAAACAGCTGATGGATATGACAAGTACATGAAAAGTGTAACTGAGTCATTGTACCTACCACAGTGGAAGGAGAGATAAGAGCCCATAAGGCCATGACAAAAAATATTGATCATAGAAAACTTCATCCACAAAGAAATCGATTAAGGGAAGCTGGGATCCACAAGGTGAAACAGACACATTGTAGGTTAAATGGGGAGGGGGGTAGTACTAGCAAGCTTCATTACCGACACATTATTAATGTGACAGGAATGAATGGGAAGAACCGGTGATACTAGATTTGGCCTTCATCTTGGAACTGTTAAGCATATGAAAAATAGACTATGATCCTCCGATGGAAGCAGATGACCATGCACTTCTGAATTTCGATTATCTGGAGGATATAAATCTAGAATAGAATTCTCGGGGAGGGAAAGAATTTACTGCAACAGCAGTTGAGGATGTCAACACCAGCTCATCAGGTGTACTTTACACGTTTAGTTGTTTCTGTGAAATTCTCATATCCATTACCTGGAGTGTGTCCTGGCGAAGTGCTGATTCGACAAAAAGAAAATTTAGGAACGATGACTGCAACCATGCCAAATGTAGTAATATACCAGTGTGAGAGGAGCCAGTTTTCCTGCCTAAGCTGCCATGTTATGAAGCAGCAGATAACTTTAATTCAAGCATGAGAGGAACATATACAGGTATACACACATTTATAATTGCAAATCACGTAGCTGGACTGTTGAGTGCTGCAACACGTCCAGCGTCCTAACACAGTCTAGCGAACATTTGAAATCTCGCTGGTCACTGAATACTTGAGTATTATGTTGCTGGCACAAACAATGTAACACTAACAATCATTTTAACTGGTTTCTAATATTTGATGCATCATACCATCCTAGGTGATGTTTGAAGAGACAGTGATGTGAGGCGAGGGATGATGTATCAGGGGGTAGTATGATGTGAGGTGAGAGATGATGTATCAAGTGATAGAATGTGAAGCGAGGGATGATGTATCACGTGGTAGTATGATGTGAAGCGAGGGATGATGTATCAGGCGGTAGTATGATGTGAGGCAAGAGATGATAGGTAGATGATGGCAGGATGATGAGGTAGTATGATGTGAGGCGAGGGATGATGTATCAGGTGATAGAATAATGTGAGGCGAGGGATGATGTATCAGGTGATACATCATCCCTCATGTACCAAGTGATACTGTACCTTGTGGAACAGAGGTTTTCACCGTAGCCGCCTCAGACTTTACTCTGTTGACTACTACTCTTTGTGTTCTATTTGTTAGGAAATTATAGATCCATCTACAAACTTTTCCTGTTCTTCCTTTATCACGCATCTTTATCACCATCTTCTATATGATTCCATCTTCATTATGACACCATCTTCAATATGACACTATCTTCAGTATGACACCATCTTCAGTATGACGCTATCTTCAATGTTAACACCATCTTCAATATTAACACCATCTTCAATATTAACACCATCTTCAGTATTAACACCATCTTCAATATTAACATCATCTTCAATATTAACATCATCTTCAATATTAACACCATCTTCAATATTAACACCATCTTCAGTATTAACACCATCTTCAATATTAACATCATCTTCAATATTAACACCATCTTCAATATGACACTATCTTTAACATGACAGATGTTTATTCATTATGACACCAGCTTCTTCAGTACAACATCATCTTCTTCAGTACGACACCATCTTCTTCAGTATGAGTCCATCTTCAGTATGACACCAACTTCTTCAGTATGACACTATCTTCAGTATGACACCATCTTCTTTAGCTGGAATGATTCCCGTTAAGAGGTTGTGTGACAAAAACAGTGATACCGATTCTTTGCCTCTTTTAAAAAGTTTTTCCTGTCGATGTTTTTCTCTGCTTTAATCAGGTTTTTTCCCCAAGACATTTTATCAGTGTGAAATTATCAAGAGGAGGTATATTTCATTGTATAACTCTGTCTCGCAGCTGTGTCAAGTAGTGACGGGGCGGACCGGTTCCACGAAGCGAAGGGATGTAGAGGCAGTGTTTGGACCAACCAAACCACCCAGGAGACGCAGGAGTCATCCTCCTCCACCAAGACCACCCAAAAGTGCGACCCTCCTCGGTGGTGCCCGGTCGTCCTTGAAGATAGCAAGGTCAGCAAGACCTCCTTCCACCACCTCTTCGTTCAGCACCACGTCAGGAGGCACCAGTTCCTCCCTGGCCACGACGACGCTAAAACCAGCAGAAACTAAACCTAAGAAAATTCTGAAGGTGCGACGCTCCTGGCCGTTACTCTTCTGTGATTGTCTCTACGCCAATTGTCGCGCCTATGACGACACAAATAATAAATAGGGTATAAATATATGACTTGAATTTTGTGATGGACAAAAGTTGGTGTTGGCTCTCATATTTTGAGCCAGGAATACTTCTCAAGTGACTCCGCAGTAATTTGTGTTATACAGTTTCCTGTCTAATAACAGGATTTTCCTGTAACGGATATACTTGATTTAAGATTAAGTTCTTGTATGAATTGTTACAATCCAAGAATATTTGTATTTGTTTGGCTATTATGTACATTCAAACCACCTCATTTTTATTTCGTATGTCATTATATCATATCGTGATATTAAAAGTATTCATTTATATGACTTCCTTATATGTATCTCTAAGACAGTTGACGCTGAAGAGATGAGTGTAATAGATCAAATTAATTTTTATCTTTTCAATATTTGAGCAACTATGTTTCTTACCCAGACACCCAAAGGAAGTACATTTCCAGTATTTTATAAAAAAAATATTTTTAATGTAAAGTATATTTCAATTAGTTTATCCATCGTATCATTACACGTTTTCGGCACCTATGTAAAGCTTCCATGTGTTCTCAGTTGCCCCTAGTGAACGCTCTTATTTTGCTATATTGTTGCTATAGTGTCAGTGTTAAATCTGTGATTTCTAAGTGATAATCCTCACCCATGTAGGTATGAATAGGTCAGTATGACATCAGTGTTCGAAAAAGAAACAGCGAGCGTTACACGCTTACAAATCGATTTGCTAAAATGTTCGAAAGATTTTTACTCAGTGACTCCTAGCCAGGCTAGGTTGTCATGTGACTATAAGGACTAATCTGTCATTAAATATTAAAGACTGTCACTGTTGTCATCACCTCACTGTGCAAACCTCTTTGACTGGGTGAGATATGTGGCAGACGTCTTGGTAATGGCCTTGCTTACAACGTACATGTGTAAAAACCTGTATTTATGAGGCACCATGTGATATTGAATCCATGTCGAATAAACCCCTCCAATCCTGAAAATACTTTTCTTCCAATCCAGCATGGCCATAATTAAGTTAATTTACAACCTGGGTGTTAGCTGAATGTTGTGGGCCGCATCATGGTGGGGTAATAGTATACTTTAGATATGGATGGGCTTTGAAACGAGCTGAGGGATCACACTTCTTAGCCTGTAAAATTAATACCCAGTGGCTAACGCGACGGTCTGTAGTTTTGAGACTCTCTGACCGCGGATTCAAACCCCACCCGTGGTATGGTTTGATTACAGAGGCACAGAATGGGTCTAGGGACTAGGCCGCAAAGTTTTGAGGAGTTACAGTGGTAGTGAACTATTTACATGTTAATATCTGGTTACAACCGTAATCAGTTGAATATACGGATTTAATTTAGTGAGAGATATGTTAAATAAGCCAGAGGAATGTCTTGAAACCTTCCATCACCATACGAGGAAAGTGGAATTAGCTGAGCAGTTATACAATAGAAGGAGACTCAGTCAAGGGGTACAAAGAAAGTGGCAGTTAATAGAAATACACAGTCAGGTTTCTTGTAACTTAAAGGAAAGAAATTTATATATATATATATATATATATATATATATATATATATATATATATATATATATATATATATATATATATATATATATATATATATATATATATATATATAATATATATATATATATAATATATATATATATATATATATATATATATATATATATATATATATATATATATATATAGATAGATAGATATATATATATATATATATATATATATATATATATATATATATATATATATATATATATATATATATATATATATGCAAAACAGCCACTCTGAAAGAATATAGAAATTCCAAGCGCTTTCGTGACTACTCACATTATCAAGGAACTATGATAATGTGAGTAGTCACGAAAGCGCTTGGAATTTCTCTATTCTTTCAGAGTGGTTGTTTTGCATATTCTGAAATCACCTGTTTACTGTGATTTTATTGCATATATATATATATCTTCTTTTCTTCTTTCAACGTACCAGCCGTATCCCACTGAGGTGGGGTGGCCCAAAAGAAAAAACTGAAGTTTCTCCTTTTAAATTTAGTAATATATACAGGAGAAGAGGTTACTAGCCCCTTGCTCCCGGCATTTTAGTCGCCTCTTACAACACGCATGGCTTACGGAGGAAGAATTCTGTTCCACTTCCCCATGGAGATAAGAGGAAATAAACAAGAATAAGAACTAGAAAGAAAATAGAAGAAAACCCAGAGGGGTGTGTATATATGTGCTTGTACATGTATGTGTAGTGTGACCTAAGTGTAAGTAGAAGTAGCAAGACGTACCTGAAATCTTGCATGTTCATGAGACAGAAAAAAGGACACCAGCAATCCTACCATCATGTAAAACAATTACAGGCTTTCGTTTTACACTCACTTGGCAGGACGGTAGTACCTCCCTGGGCGGTTGCTGTCTACCAACCTACTACCTATAATATATATATATATATATATATATATATATATATATGGTGTAACTTTGCTGTCTACAGTAAACAGCAGATAAAGTTAAGTTACTTGTATATGTATTGCATGAATAGGTAGACTCAGTTTTAACGAGCAACGGTTTGCGAACATACGCAGTCAAATACCTGAGGTGGGGCATCCTAAACTATCGGCTGGACATACGCACGTTTTCTCTCTCTCTCTCTCTCTCTCTCTCTCTCTCTCTCTCTCTCTCTCTCTCTCTCTCTCTCTCTCTCTCTCTCTCTCTCTCTCTCTCTCTTCTCTCTCTCTTTTACACAGGGTTTGACAAGGTTAAGGATCCCTAGCTTTATTGATAAGCTATTTACAGGCTAAGGATTCCTAACTTTATTGGCAAGCTAAGAGCTGTTACCTACATCAGCTCATTTGAAAGCATTTTTATTGCTATGAGACATACAAGTAGGGAACAGGATGAAGTTGGAGCCATCTGTGGGCCAGCATTTTCATTTGATCAACTGCCCCTATCACGAGCCTTTTCCATCCTATGGAGAGGGAGCATGGACACGGGGGTCGTCCCACAGTTACTAAAAACAACAGACATAGCCCACTCCACAAAGGGTGCAGTAAAGCAAAAGCAAAGAACTACAGACTGATCGCACTAACATCACATATCATAAAAATCTTTGAAAGGGTCCTAAGAAGCAAGATCACCACCCATCTAGAAACTCATCAGTTACACAACCCAGGGCAACATGGGTTTAGAACAGGTCGCTCCTGTCTGTCTCAACTATTGAATCACTACGACAAGGTCCTAGATGCACTAGAAGACAAAAAGAATGCAGATGTAATATATACAGACTTTGCAAAAGCCTTCGACAAGTGTGACCATGGCGTAATAGCGCACAAAATGCGTGCTAAAGGAATAACAGGAAAAGTCGGTCGATGGATCTATAATTTCCTCACTAACAGAACACAGAGAGTAGTCGTCAACAGAGTAAAGTCCGAGGCAGCTACGGTGAAAAGCTCTGTTCCACAAGGCACAGTACTCGCTCCCATCTTGTTCCTCATCCTCATGTCCGACATAGACAAGGATGTCAGCCACAGCACCGTGTCTTCCTTTGCAGATGACACCCGAATCTGCATGACAGTGTCCTCCATTGCAGACACTGCAAGATTCCAGGCGGACATCAACCAAATATTTCAGTGGGCTGCAGAAAACAATATGAAGTTCAACGATGAGAAATTTCAATTACTCAGATATGGTAAACACGAGGAAATTAAATCTTCATCAGAGTACAAAACAAATTCTGGCCACAAAATAGAGCGAAACACCAACGTCAAAGACCTGGGAGTGATCATGTCGGAGGATCTCACCTTCAAGGACCATAACATTGTATCAATCGCATCTGCTAGAAAAATGACAGGATGGATAATGAGAACCTTCAAAACTAGGGAGGCCAAGCCCATGATGACACTCTTCAGGTCACTTGTTCTATCTAGGCTGGAATATTGCTGCACACTAACAGCACCTCTCAAGGCAAGTGAAATTGCTGACCTAGAAAATGTACAGAGAACCTTCACGGCGTGCATAACGGAGATAAAACACCTCAATTACTGGGAGCGCTTGAGGTTCCTAAACCTGTATTCCCTGGAACGCAGGCGGGAGAGATACATGATTATATACACCTGGAAAATCCTAGAGGGACTAGTACCGAACCTGCACACGAAAATCACTCACTACGAAAGCAAAAGACTTGGCAGACGATGCAACATTCCCCCAATGAAAAGCAGGGGTGTCACTAGCACGTTAAGAGACCATACAATAAGTGTCAGGGGCCCGAGACTGTTCAACTGCCTCCCAGCATACATAAGGGGGATTACCAACAGACCCCTGGCAGTCTTCAAGCTGGCACTGGACAAGCACCTAAAGTCGGTTCCTGACCAGCCGGGCTGTGGCTCGTACGTTGGTTTGCATGCAGCCAGCAGTAACAGCCTGGTTGATCAGGCTCTGATCCACCAGGAGGCCTGGTCACAGACCGGGCCGCGGGGGCGTTGACCCCCGGAACTCTCTCCAGGTAAACTCCAGGTAAACTGACTTTATCTCTCTCTCTCTCTCTCTCTCTCTCTCTCTCTCTCTCTCTCTCTCTCTCTCTCTCTCTCTTTTACACAGGGTTTGGGGTTTGACAAGGTTAAGTTAAGGATTCCTAGCTTTACTGACAAGCTATTTACAAGCTAAAGATTCCTAACTTTATTGACAAGCTAAGAGCTGTTACCTACATCAGCTCATTTGAAAGCATTTTTATTGTTACGAAACATACAAGTAGGGAACGGGATGAAGCTGGAGCTCTCTGTGTGTCAGCATTTTCATCTGATCAACTGACTTTATCTAGTTGACATCATAATGCTGTACGAATGTGTTCCAGACTCGAGTCATCCTGGGTTTAAATGATCTCAGTTGAAGTAATGTTCTGGAGAAGGGTACAGCCAGAGTGAAGTTGCTGATTTCTGCCTGTCTTGTGGTATAGAAGCTTGTTTCTCGCTGTCCTCGGAGTGGAGCCAAGTGTGGTACTTTGACAATGTTGGCCTTGTACATAACAGTAAGACCACCCACATCCCTCCTGTGCTGATGGCTCTGCTGAAATGACAGATCTATCCAGGATGGGTCCAGGCGAGAGATGAGACGTCTTGCTCTGTTCTCTACTCTGTCAAGCAGTCGCAGATGAAAAGGGGAGGCAGGCAAACCAAGAAAGTGGAGCATACTCAAGGTATGAGCATACTTGTGCCTCATACAGAATCTTGCAACCATTACTGTCAGTCAGATGCGAGATATGTCGAAGTGCTGTAAGCTTCCTGGCTGCCTTGTTTGCAAGATTTACAACGTGGTTCTTCACGGTCAGTTTGGAGTCAAATTTCACCCCAAAGATATCAACTTCTTCCCCAGGTACCAACGCTCTCCCATTCATACTTACTACTGGTCCTGTATTACCATCATGGTGCCTAGAGACTATCATCATTTGTGTTTTCTCAGGTGCAAATGTTACATGCCATCGGTTTCCCCAAGCTGATATAACTCTCAGCTGGTGATTTATGTAGCTTAGAGCAACTGGTATTTCTTTTCTTGGATAAGTTAATGTCAGAGTACAGTCGTCTGCATATACATGGGATTCTGGGATGAGATGAGGAAGGTCATTGAAGTTGACATTCCATAACAATGGTCCCAGCACACTTCCTTTTGGAACACTTGTCCTAGTAGGATGTCTTGCTGATTCTGTTCCATTGAGAACTACCCTTAGAGATCTACTATGAAAATAATCACTGAGGAGACGTAGTGTAGAGCCTGCAATTCCCAGTGCTTGCAGTTTTGCTAAGAGGCCCTGGTGCCACACTCGGTCTAAAGCACCAGCAGCTTCCAGTGCTACCACACAGCTGACATTGGATTCATCCAGTGACTGGTGCCATTTAGTGGAGAGGTTTAACAACAGATCAGCGGCAAAGTAACCTTTCCTGAAGCCATATTAACGGTCACAAAGTAGTGAGTG